AGGTTTGGGTCCAGCTCTCAGATTACCCCCTTCTCCCCATGGGGTGTGAGAGGAAGGTTTGGGTCCAGCACTCAGATTACCCCCTTCTCCCCATGGGGTGTGAGAGAAAGGTTTGGGTCCAGCACTCAGATTGGGGAAGGATGCTGAAGGCAGCAGTATTTAATCCCTTAAAATGTCATTTGTAGCATCCACCTGACAAGGATGGGATAATAACCTTGCATTGACCAACCACTAACGTCCTTAATAAACTTGGGATTTGTATTTTATGAAGTGGTATTATTTAAAACAGGAATATAAGATAAATCACGAGTTTATCATGTGATGTCACTACATAAGAATGTTGTGTATAAATAATTATAATTTCTATCATGCTTTAATAGCCATAATAGGTTGCCCATATGCACACACAAACACACACACATACATGTTTATGTATTGCTAAATATATGATTATAGTGAAAATGAAGTGAAAACAAATATTTAGCTCAACTGGATGGGGGTTATTCCCAAAAATGTGGAATGATAGTTCAAAGTGTAGTTTAAATTTTACGCCAGTATAAACCAAACTGAAAATATTTTCTACAATAGCTATGCTTTGGCTTTTTGGTTTACATTTTAAATTCACTTGAATTCCTAACCGTCCACACTTTAGTGAATAAACCCTAATAGATATAGCTTGGCTATTTTAGCCTAAATTTTGCATATTTCTTTTCAAATTACTTCAGTTTGAGATTTTGCATATAAAGTACACGTCTGAGCGGGTTATTTCTCAAAGTGATCGATTCTGAAAAAATGTGATGTAAAGTAATAAAAGTGGGGCAGTTACCATGATAATTCGTGGAACCAGAAGGCACATTCCATTGGTGACTGCAACCCTTTTCCATTTTTGCACCATTGTAGAAGACTTTGATATATATTTTCCTTTATGTCTGTTGATTTTCCTATATATTATTGTCGCTCTGTATCTCTTCTGTCTGCAAATTAATATGACGAAGAGAGAGAAAGCTTGTGAGAATTACTGAATTATCTGTGTTGCTCCATTACTTTGACTTATAGTGCACCTGCCATGCCCAGGGCCGCCATCAGGGCATGACAACCACAACGGTTGTCATTGGCCCGGCGGTCCTGGGGGGCCCGGACTGCTCAGGTCGTCCGGGCCCCACATTCAGTGGGTACATACCGGGTTCGCAGGGGGGCCCTGCGACCCCGGTATGTACCCACAGGGCCAGCCTCTTCTCCTGGGGGGCCCAGAAGCCGGTCACCTCAGGGCCCCCCAGAGGCTGGACCTGCTGACACCCGGCCGGCGCGCGAGGGAGCACTCTCCTCTGTGTGCTTCCTCTTCAGCTCCCTCGCGCGCCGCGTACTGATGCCGGAGCCGGAAGATGACCTTCCGGCTCCGGCATCAGTACGCGCCATGAGGGAGCCAGTGAAGCACACAGAGTGCTCTCACCGGCCCGTCAGGAGAAAATTTGGAATTTGAGGGGGAGGAAGGAGGAAATGAGGGGGAGGGAAGGAAATTCTGAGGAAGGGAGGAGAGGAAGGAAATTTGAGGGGGAGAGGAAGGAAATTTTGAGGAGGGAGAGGAAGGAAATTGAGGGGAGGAGGAGGAAGGAAATTTGAGGGACGGGGAGAGGAAGGAAATTTGTGGGAGGGGGGAGAGGAAGGAAATTTGAGGGGGGTGAAGGAAATGGAGGGGAGGAAGGAAATTTGAGGGGGGAGGAGAGGAAGGAAATTTGAGGGGGGAGGGAGAGGAAGGAAATTTGAGGGAGGGGGAGAGGAAGGAAATTTGAGGGAGGGGGAGAGGAAGGAAATTTGAGGGAGGAAGGAAATTTGAGGGAGGGGGGAGAAGGAAGGAAATGAGAGGGAGGGGGAGAAGAAGGAAATGAGAGGAGGGGGGAGAAGGCAATGAGAGGGAGGGGGAGAAGAAGGAAATTGGAGGGGGGGAGAAGGAAATTGACAGGGGTAGGGGGAGAGATTGACATCCATCACACACACACATACACACACAATGCACCCCTTGCACACAGAAAAACACACAATGCATTACACACAGACACACATACACAAGCAATGCATCCCTTACACACAGCAACACACAATGCACCCCTTACACACACTCAGTGCATCCCTTACAGACGCACACACTGCATCCCATACATACACAAACTCACCTTGCAGCCCTTACAGCCCTTACAGCCCTTACACATACAAACACAGATTCACACAATGCATTCCTTACACACATCAGGACATCCCCCCCCACACACACACCCCTGTGAACAAACTCATTGGTGGAACATAAAGGTGGACCCTGGGACCCAGACCTTGAGCTGTGTAAAGGGCCCTCAAAAAAATGGAGCTGCTTCCCGTTCTCCCAGAACATTGATTTTTGTGACCATAGTTACAAACCGCCTCCAGAGAGCCTGTTCTACACCAGACCAGTGGAGCCAGACGGCAGCTAGAGCCCATCATCATCCTCATCTGGTTGTAAGTAGGCAATCAAGTATATTATTCGTGGCACTAATCTCTAATTTACCTCACATTAAAGGGACACTATAGTCCCCAGAACCACTGCAGCTTAATGTAGTGGTTCTGGTGTCTATAGCCTGTCCCTGCAGGCCTTTTATTGTAAACACGGCAGCACTGTGTTAGTTAACATGGCAGATCATATGGTTGGGGCATTGTGATGTCACATGGGGGGCGGCAAACTTTACTTTTGCCTAGGGCGGCAAAAATCCTTGCACCGGCCCTGCAGACACTGCATCCCTGTGGGCGGACTCAGGAGGGGGGGGGACGGACGGACTCGGGTGCAGGCACCAGGGGGCCCAGACCTTGAGCTGTGTCAGGGGCCCCAAAATTTCTGATGGCAGCCCTGGCCATGCCTAACATGACTTGATGTAATTTGACCTTGATGTCTTTTGGATCAACAGCAAAAAACAAATGTGAGGAAGGCTGGACTTGATGGACGCGTGTCTCTTTTCAGCCTATGTAACTATGTCACGTTAAAGGAAAACTGCAATTTTCCAGGATGTTTGATACAATGTTTATTTAAACAACTTGGAAGGTACTGGTTGTTCGTTATTCTGCAACTGCCTGCTTCCATTTTAGCTGTCAATCATTGTTATAAACTCTGTCCTTTAGCGTTAGACCTTGTACTCAGCATTGAAAAATCATACAGGGATAAAAAAAAAAAAAAAAAAAGTGAAACAATGTGTCTATTTTCCTCTTCAGTTGCAATGATTTCCCTGCATTTGCTTTGTCCAAATTGGGTGATTATTTACTTTGCTAAATCTTTAAGAGAAATATAAAAGAAAACAGTATCTTGAGAAAAAAAAAGTTCAGCATTATTATAGGAGATTTTTAATGTTTTATTCAATGGTATAAATCCCAGAGGTGTACCAGTTCCCCTTTAAAGAGCCTAAAATTTTATTATTACTCTGTGCTAGCCAAACTGCTTGTTAATGTATAAATGGAAAGTTATGTTATTTTGATCCTTCTGGACTTTACTTCTGAGTTTTACTATTGTCAAAGTTGGATAAAGTACACAAACTTTTACATTTAGTAATTACAATTATTTATATTGTGCCTTCATATTCTGCAGCGCTGTAGAATAGGTAAGCAAGACAAACATTTCGTTCTACCAAAACACATATGACATATGGAAACAGTGTGTGAAGAGGCCAAACAAGTTTACAATCTATATCAGGGGTAGTCAACCTTTTAATACCTACCGCCCACTTTTCTATCTTTGTTGAAGGAAAAATATCCTTACCACCCACGAGTGTGTCTTTTTTATATATATATTTAATTTTTTTCTTTCTATTCTACTTTTTTCTTTGTGTCTGTGAGTTGCTTTGTGTGTGTGAGAGGGGCAGTGTGTGTGTGTGTGTCTGTGAAGGGTGCTGTGTGTGTGTGTGAGAGGGGCAGTGTGTGTGTGTCAAGGGTGCTGTGTGTGTGCATGTCAAGGTTGCTGTGTGGGTGTGTCAAGGGTGCTGTGTGTGTGTGTTTCAAGGGTGCTGTGTGTGTGTGTGTGTGTCCAGGGTGCTGTGTGTGTCAAGGGTGCTATGTGTGTGCCAAGGGTGCTGTGTGTGAGGGGTACTGTGTGAGGGGTGCTGTGTGTGAGTGGGGCAGTGTGTGAGTGAGGGGTGGTGTGTGCGTTTTCTGCAGAACCCACCACCACCGGGCGTTTTCTACAGAACCCACCACCGCCCACCTGAAATGCCAAATCACCCACTAGTGGGCGGTAGGGACCAGGTTGACTAACCCTGATCTATATTATAATTTAACCCAAACCTCTCTATACCCAATAAGAAAACTGAAAATGATCTTATTCCTCTTTGTAGAAGGTCATGACACAACATTTCAATGGGGGAAGGGGTCAGCACTTTGACTCAGCAATTTAAAAATTAAGAAAAAAGACTCATGCAAACATTCTGTAAATTGTATTGTGTGGTCTACCCACAAAAGAATGACTATTCAACCATTCAAATCAATTAAAAAAAGGCAATTGAGGTTGAACAAAGTCATGCAATACTCATGGTATACACTAATAAGTGAATATGGGAAAATTTGTACTGACTTAAACTGAAAAGATTGACCTAAGCCATGTTGAAATGACCCTTGTCATTGACCCATGTTGAAACTTTGCTACTTTAAAATTCTAGTTTTCGGAGGTGTGGCTTGGAGCTTGACGGGACCCGGTCACACGCAAGTGAAGCTCCCGCGGCTCAAGTCTTACGGGGCAAAAATAACCAGCACTACAAGCAACCTGTAAAACAAGATAAACGTCCCTACCTCCAACATGTCACAGAGAGGCAAAAACAAGACCCTCAGAACGGAGAAAGCCTCCTTCTTCCTAGTGAGGGCTCTGGCGGGGAAACGAAGGCCCTATCCAAGATGGTGGCGAGCACCGCTCGGACGAAGCTACATCCTCCCTACCGCCTTCCCCGAGCTCTGTCTCAGAGGAGGGACCCCTCACAGCCACAGGTATGAGAACCCTGATGGCAGAACTGTCTGACAAGCTTCAAGCAAGTATTACAGCACAGATCCACACACTCACCACCGACCTCCGCAAAGAACTCCTGGAAATAGGGAGCAGGACGGCCCACGTGGAGAAATCGCTACACGACTTCGCTGTGGCACACAATAGCCTGGCGGACAGATTACAGGAGCTGGAGACCTCCCTGGAAGCGCAAAAATGCAAGGTAGCAGACCTGGATGATAGATCCAGGAGGAACAACCTCCGTTTCAGGGGAATACCGGAATCCATTCACAATACAGAACAGAACAAGTATCTGACCAACCTGTTCCAAGAATTAACTCCATCTACACACCCTGACCTCCTGGCAATCGACAGAGCCCACCGCCTGCGCAGGCCAAACCACCTACCCACCACAACCGCAAGAGATGTTATAGCTCGCATTCACTTCTACCATGTGAAAGAGCACATCACAAAGGCCTGCAGAAACGCAGCCCTTCCCGAGCCATATTCCAGCATCAAAATCTTCGCGGATCTATCTGCCACCACGCTGCAATTCCGAAAATCGATGACCCAAGTTACAACCACCCTCAGATCCAACGACATTGGCTACTGATGGGGATACCCGGCAAAGCTGCTGATACAGAATCAAGGAGTGATACACGCAGTGGCGACTGAGGCAGAGGGCCTGCGAAAACTGCAAGACTGAGGTATACCGATACCAAGCCCCCAAGCATCCTCCCAGGTTAAGGTCCCTAGATTGACACAGGACTGGACTCAAGCCTAATGGCTGACCGCCCTCTCCTGTAGGGTATCGTATACATCTGCAACATATATGCCTATGTGATACTCAGAATCTATATTTTAATTGTTGTTTATATGTTTTAAACTGCTAACTTCTATTTATAATTTCTATGGTTAGAATACGACACGCCTAACTTACTGAAATAGTCAAATATTGGTACACAATAGAGCGCAACTTCACAAAAAAAAAAAAGGGTTTAGCTCCCAAAATACTCACTACCTAGGAGCACATAAAGTAGTTCACTAAAGATCGCTGTAAACATATCGGTAATGCACCCAAATGCCTGTGTATTTACCCTTCAGCTTCTCAGAAGCCCCGAATGGGCCCTAAGACCTGAGTGCCTCTAGATTATGGAGACACTGGAAGCCACCCCTGTCTTGTGTGGGTCTGGATGAACCAGACCACACTACTGCTCAGATCTCCTGAGCATTACCTCACCTGCCGTTGCGGGAAGTTCTTCCCCCTTCCTGGTTCACCCCCTCCCCAGGTCCCATCCCTCATCACGGTTCTCATTAACGACATCGCACACACATATAGCAATGCACTGTGGAGACAATCAACCACTCCCTACTCTGATACCCATGAGGACAGGGAATCAACACTCCCCTCCGTTGGAGATCTTACAAGCAACTGTTTATGAGAATTACAACCTTTAATGTTAAGGGGCTCAACAACCCCGTTAAACGGAGTCTACTACTTAGGGACCTAAAGAAAGAGAGGGTAGATGTTGCATGTGTGCAAGAGACCCACTTTAAGAGAGACCACACTCCGGCCATATATAACAGACACTACCCAACCCAATTCCACGCGCTTTCTGAATCCAAAACTAAGGGAGTCTCCATCCTCATCCATAAAGACACATCTCTAATGCTCTAATTATAGACCCTCAGGGCGGTTTATTATCCTTGTGGGCCTATTTAATAACACCCCATATACCCTTGTAGCAGCTTACATCCCCAACACTGATGCCACAAAAATCCTATGAACCCTTCTCCTGGCCGTGGATGAGGTTAGAGTAGGGGGTCTCATCCTGTGTGGAGACTTTAATTTTATTCAACACCCGTCACTAGACACCACAGCCTGCCCCACGGGCCGGAAGAAGGCGCATATGGCCGAAACATGCAAGGCTATTATTAAACTGCTCACACAACATGGCCTATATGATGCATGGCGCACCTTACACCCCACACAGACTGACTACACATTTCACTCCAAAGTACACAACAGGTACACCAGAATTGACACCTTCTTCCTTGACACTGCCACCCTAGCGCAACTACAGGACTGCAGGATAGGGGACATCACCTGGTCAGACCACAGTCCGGTGCACCTCCAACTACATGATACATTTCAGTTCACAGGCCGAGGGCAGTGGCATCTTAATGAATCCCTATTGGCAGACGATACCTTCCGGGATCTAATCCAGACAACATTACCAGACTACTTTCAAACAAATGGTCGGGGGAAACCACAGAGGATATAGTTTGGTGCGCCCATAAAGGGGTGGTTCGAGGGCTTTTTATTAAGCGGTCCTCCTATCTCAAGAAACGCAACCAAAACACACTGATGGAGACGTACGCACAACTAGCCGAACTTAACGCAAAAAACAAAGCCCAACCCACACAAGAATATCTAATTAAAATTAACGACCTACAAAAAATTATCGCCAAGCTACAGGCAGAAAAAACAAATAGCCTCCTTTATAAGCTCAGTGCTACTACATACCACACATCTGGCAAGGCCAATAAGCACTTAGCAGCCAGGCTCAGAGCATGACTGACCCAGACAAAGATACCCCACATTATCGATGACGACGGGAATAAACACATAGACCCACAAGCGATCAGCACAGTGTTTTCTACCTTTTACTATAAACTGTATAACCTCCATATAGACGTGTCAAGACCACACCCTCAATCCTTAGACGCGGCACAATACCTAGCGGACATTACACTGCCCAGGGTGTCAGACGACCAATACCAGGCCCTGATACAGCCTATCACAGTCCAGGAAATCATCAACACTATTAAACCGCTCCCCCCAGGGAAGTCCCCGGGGGCAGATGGCCTCTCCAACGCATACTATAAGAAGTTCGGCGACTTACTGGCGCCGCAGCTCCTTAAGGTGTACCAGCAGACGGCAGCTACAGGCAGACTGCCTCCAGAGGTGTTGCTGGCTACAATAGTGACGATTCCCAAACCCACGGACACATGCAAAAATTACAGACCTATATCCTTACGAAAATTTACGCAAAACTACTTGCAAATAGACTGAACACAATCCTGCCACACTTGATCCATGATGACCAGATGGGTTTCGTGAAGGGCAGACAGGGCCTGGGCAATACCCGGAAACTAGCCCTTATTCAACAAGAGCTCGGGAGGTCGGGCCGAGGGGGTCTCCTCCTAGCGCTGGATGCGGAGAAAGCTTTTGACCGCCTCGGCTGGACCTTTCTGGAGCAAGTGCTGGCCAAATTTGGATTTCCCTCAGAGACGATTTGACAGATTTTTGCGCTCTACTCCTCACCCTCAGCTTAGGTGAATCAGGTGGGTTTCCTATCCCCCACTTTTAACATTACAAATAGGACGAGGCAGGGGTGTCCCCTGTCTCCACTGCTTTACGTCCTCGCACTAGAACCCCTCCTACACCTCATAAGACAGAACGAGACAATACAGGGAATACACCTAGGGGACAAGCACATCAAGATCAGTGCGTTCATAGATAACGTATTACTATATAAAGAAAATCCCCTGGACTCCCTACCCACACTATTACAATTGCTTAAAGACTACAGACGGGTATCATACTACTCAGTCAACATGTCTAAGACGCAAGCCCTACCTATCGGCATTCCGGCCCAGGTCCTCCGCACCGTCACTCACACCTACAACTTTGACTGGAGGGTGGAATCCATAAGATATCTGGGGTTGACGATTACCAAAAACCCTGCAAACCTTATTTGGGCGAACTATATCACAGTATGGAATAAGTGTAATCAGTTGTTGAAACAATGGTCACCACTGTACTTGTCCTGGACAGACCGCATAGCGACACTGAAAATGTCCATACTGCCAAGACTGTTGTACCTATTTCGTACACTCCCCCTCCTCCTCCCTCCCTAATATTTTAAGACAATACAGGCCGACATGGGAAGGTTCGTGTGGGCAGGTGGCAGGGCCAGGGTGTCGGCAGCTATTATTCAAGCCCCCAAGAAAATGGGGGGTCTAGCAATGCCTAATGTCCAAACCTATTACCACGCAACAATATTGGCAACAGCTATCCCTCACATCATCTCCGAGCCCAATCCACAATGGGTCTCACTGGAACGAGACTTATTGGGTACCCACAACATCCTACACCTACTCTGGACACTCCTACGTTTTAGGCCTGCTCATCCCCTCCTTCCTACACAGATGCTACTGTTGTTTTAGATATGGGATAAATACAGACCCAGATTGGGCAGCACCCCCGGTCTTTCTCTGGTGACCCCCCTCAAGACTTTACCCTACATTATCCCCACATTTAATGCCGCACTGTGGTACCAAAGAGGGGCGACACACCTATACCATCTTTTCACTGCTGACAAACTCCTGGACTACCCCAGCCTAGTGGATAAATTTACACTCCCGCAATCCTCTCTTTACTCATATCTCCAATTAAAATCCTACTTGTCCAGGGAAGCGACACATTGCCCAGGCACCCCCAGAGATACCAATAGGATTACTGTATGGGAACAAATGTGTATAACCGCAAAATTACTACCACATTGTAAACCGATCTCCATGTGCCTCTGCTCCATAACTAACGACAATCACTTTTCCACCACCAAATATGCCCGACAATGGGAGAGTGATCTAAACTGTCCAGGGCCACTTAAATCTTGGGATACAATCCTCACCGACCACCTCAATTTACTAAAGTCGTCAGCCCACATAGAACAACACCGCAAAATATTATACCGATGGTACTTAGTGCCAACTAGATTGCATAAAATCTTCTCCTCCACTTCCTCACAATGTTGGAGATGCCACACAAAGGAGGACTTGATGCACCATATCTGATGGAGCTGTCCACGGCTACTCAGCTACTGGACCAGGGTCCTCGCATTAATCCAAGACGTTACTCAACACCCCTCCCATTTACCCCGCTAACGTGCTTAATGCTTGATCTCCCAGAGGGATGCCACAGCACGCCAAGAAAATGACGTTACACATTGCCTTAACGGCGCAACAATTGATAGCAAGGAGGTGGAAATCCACGATCCTTCCCAAAAAGGAGACCCTGCTAGATGAATTACACAAGCAGTGGATCTATGAGACCTCCTACAAGTCCCTGTTCCCCCCTTCTGTACTCTACCAAAAAACCTGGGAGCTCTGGCAAACATGGAGATCTGGTAATGTACCAGGCACTGTGCCTAACTAAATGACCCGAAAGGTTCCCCTTGCATGGCGGCCACCAATAAGTGATGTATACCAAGACAGGACCGATGGGGAAATTGACCCTAATTGACCCTACTTGGCTTAATACAGACTTAATACTACTACAATTGGCAACACCGCAACCTCAATCACAGCCTATGGGGTAGCCTACCGGCAAGTATGGGGATATGTTGATATGTTGATATGTTGATATGTTGATTTGTAAACACAGCTATATGTGATACGTGGTTACAGCTACTATGTTGCTAGAATGTCGATATAATGCTTGACTGTTTCTTATAAAGATGCCCCCTCCCCAGACCCCCACACCTCCCTGATTTTTGCTTTCTGAAATGTCACAGTTATGTATAACATGCAATTGAACGAAATTCCCTTTTCTCTTCTGTATCCTGTTTGAGATGGTTAATGACAAAATAAAAATTGTCAAATTGAAAAAAAAGAAAATTATAGTTTTCCTAAAACAGGTCATTATTACCAGTCATTACAAGAGGGAAAAAGGTTAAAACATATAAATAATACTGGTAATGATAATAAAATGATTGCAGGTTTCCATATCTAAACAATGAGGAGGAAAAGTTTCTGTCTGATAGAGTGGTGTGTAGACCCCCTGTTAAGAAGAATGCGGCCAACAGTTCTCTATATTTACACATTCAGCATAGTTAGGGTGAAGGATAAAAGGATCTCATTGAAGTGGTCTGGGTGCAGTATCCCTGTCCTTTTAATCCTGCAATGTAAAGCATTGCGTTTTTTTGGAAACTGCAATATTTAAATTGCAGGGTTAAGTCCATCTCTAGGGACTGACCAAGTAACTCTCAGTCACATGACGGAAAGGCCCCATAGGAAAGTATTGATTCCCCATTGGAAGTTTGAATGCGAATGCACATTTAATCCCCAAGGCTTCTATATGATGAGCATTAGTTTGGACATCGGCAGAGGAGGCCTCCTTCTCACATGGTCTGTTAGAAAAATTTGGGTGTCCAGCCCTCAGATTGGGGAGTGATGCTAAAGCAATATTTCATCTCTTAAAATGGGCCAGTGTCCATGTTTCTAATAGCCAATATGGTGTAGCACTTTATATAAATACAAACGGAGGTTAAATACATTAAAGAAGTATAGTTCAGTGATGGTGGTATTTGTAATAAAATGCCTAAAAAGTTATAGTGTCTTTATAGTGTGTTTATTTTATGTATAGCTAGTAAGTTTTTTTTTTTATTTAATGTTGGGTGATACCCTTTAATAAATAGTATTTTTATACACACTTTTGGCAGTCGGTTCCTGCGTATAGGAGTGTAGTCCTTAACTACACATTGTGCTGTTATTGAGCCTATTATGATGGCTTCATCTTTGTGAGTTTTATTCTACCTGATTATTCGCCTTGTTATACTGGATATACAATATTGCACTATATACTTTCTTTGCTTGAGCCTATATATTGGACAAAAGAAAAGATTACACATAAAGAAGGGGAATGTCGCCTAAACGGACCTACAGGCTATTCATCCTTGAGCTGGGTTCTTAGCTCAGAAGAATGTGAGTGGTTCCATATACTTGTTTTACTCCACACTGGTTTTTTAGTTTTTCACTATTGGACTTATTAAAACTTTTTAGGCATTTTATTACAAATACCGCCATCACTGTACTATACTTCTTTAAGGTATTTAACCTCTGTTCGTATTTATATAGAGCGCTACACCATATTGGCTATTTGCATATTTGTTGAGTGTATTTGGAGAGATTACACTTGGTGTTTTAGCAGCTGTATTTTATGAGATTTGGTCGGAGCACTTGCATTGTATTTTTTATATTGTATCCAGCGCCGGTATACTTTTTTCCTTTTCCTTTTTCTAGGGGGACCTATTTCTGATAATGGAGAGGGATACTATAGCGTTAGGATTACAGGTTTGTATTTTTCCTTTACTTTTCTTGTGGGTTATGGGATTAAAGGATAATATAAGTATGGGGTTCTCTGCAATTCTATTGAGGAAAGACCCCAGCAATTATGTGAAACATTTACCTGTATATGATTTACAAAATGTATTTGTTTGGGTCTAATGGCTTCCCCGACGCTGCCCCTATCTCTTGAGAAGTAAGATGTAGTCAGCAAAATTATGGACCAGTGCAGCCTCTTAGTTAATATTGTAAGATTTCCAAATGTATAATCATATACATATGATCAGCCACAAGATTAAAACCACTGACAGGTGAAGTAAATAACATTAATTAAATGTATATATATCCCGCCTGTCAACGGGTGGGATATATTAGGCAGCAAGTGAACAGACAGTTCTTGATTTTCATGTGTTAGAAGCAGGAAAAATGGACAAGCGAAAAGATCTGAGAGACTTTGACAAGCAATGTCAAATAGCAATGGCTAGAGTACTGGGTCAGAGCATTTCCAAATGGCAAGTTTTATGGGACTTGCACTCAGTATGCTGTGCTTAGTACCTGTCAAAAGAGTTGCAAGAAGGGACATCCAGCCAACTGGTGTCTGAGTCATGGGAGCTCAAGGCTCATTGATGCATATGGGGAGTGAAGGTTAGCCCACCTGGTTCAATCACACAGAAGAGCTACTGTAGCTCAAATGTCTGTTAATCTTAAAGGGACCCTATAGTCACCAAAACAATGTTAGCTTAATTAAGTAGGTTTGGTGTATAGATGATGTTCCTGCAGTCTCACTGCTCACTTTTCTGCCATTTAGGAGTTAAATCAC